TAGATCGACTCATGAATTCAACTACAAAAATTACTACAATTTCTACAAATGCCCATTCTAGTAATTTTAGAAATCACAACCACTCAGTGAGAGTTGGGAAAATCTATTTTTTTATTTAAGCTTTAGTAATCTACATATAACTTATCAATATGAATACATTAAACATTATATAACTATTTGGTCATAAGATGAAGATAACTTTTCATCATTAGCTCTGACCATTATAGCCTTCATTTATTTAACACATATTGAATATTCTTTGAGCGTTTATTAGATTAATGTTATGATATCATGTTGTAAGTTGATATTGTTTATTGAATTCATATATTTAACCATTAAAATGTACTTTTTGCTTGTATACTGGTGATTCAATACGTACAAAACCATTTAAGGGAAAAAATAATAACATTTAATTACTTAGTATAGGTAAGGATATTTTAAAGTTAATTCTGTTTCTTTTTACTATTCTTAAAAATTTTGACTGAACTAACTATATATGATTCTTGAGGTTAACTTGAAGCAATGAATTTCACAAACATTTTGAACATTCAGTCGATTTATTTATTTGAACACATAAATATTGGTACAAGAGGGCACCAAATATATATGCCCCACACTATATAAAGTGAGAATAAAAGAGAGTGAGTAAATGATGTAGTAAATAATAATAATAATAATAATAACAATAATAATAACTTGAATCGTTTGACTGTTAATCGAAGCAAGTATAGTATTTTCCGTAAGTATTGTCATTTCATTCTGTTTGTGTGTGGACTGTGATATTGCCTGGGTGCCCAGACCAAAGCAGGTGGTTCTCTTAGGGGGTCACACCTCGAGCCTTCGACCTAAAGGTATGACCCACAAGACAGTGGAGTATCGTGAGGAGATGCAGTCTCATGGTAGCCGGTAACCAACGACTGGTTCATATGCCATTTGTTCCCACAGGATACTGGAGCCCATGTGCACCATTGGTTTGGAATCCGGTTAAAAAGCCGGACATTCGCTTTTCGTCCTCTCATTTTCGTAAACGACACCCCCACCATGAGAATGCAGTGAGTAGGACTTCTCTGGCAGAGGCTGTATACGCGTGGCCGTGAGAGAGCATTTCGAGAGGGAGGACGGGCCCACCCCACTATCGGCCATACAAGTCGATGATAGCTGATAATTATGTGGACAAAAATAACGAATGTGTGGGTATCTTTGCGAAAACATTGAAATTATCATAGTTTAGGTATGGAAAAAAAGAAAACAATCAACTACAAAAATGGATTTGTCAAACGCTGAGTTATTCTTAATCTTAATGATTGTATTTTAGCATACATAATTAATATCCTTACTGCGAGCTTACCTCAACTTGACTGAAGATTTTGTTCAAATGGTGTAATAAGTAAAAGTCACAGTAAAGAATGGATCCTCAACTTTCTGATATTTAAAGGTGTTGGGATATTCAGGAAAATATCCCAAAAATTATCCTGTTAAGCCTAATGCTATCCTTGGACATGAAATGGTATCATGTTATTGGTCAATATTTATTTGACGTGTTATTTTCCTGTTGGCCATTATTGTACAATGTTATCTTCTATTTTATGGTACGTTGTGGACTGCTTGAATGGTATATAAACAAAGTATGTTTGAAATATAATGATTCATATATCCGAGGCTGTGACTTGCGTTCTGGACTCAACTGGCTGGGTTAGACAGGGAAGCGAGACCAATCAGAACCCTAGGTCGTTCTACGTGTTTGCGCGTCTTTGGTCCGATCAATAATTCGCTATCCCTTAAGCAGCATTTATTATTTTCACGTTATAACAAAAGGTAAGTAATTCTCTGTTAAATGCAATTTTCTTATGATTAATTTATGGCAGTACAATGTTTTCCACTTTAAAGTCTTCATAATGACAATTCGGTTTTTAAATTTATATTAACTATAGATGAGTCAATAAGTTGCAGACATCTAGGTCGTCTCATTTCTCCAGGTATTTCTTAATTAATTTGTAGTTGCGAATATAATGTTGAATTCCATAGGGTACTTTAATAGAGTAATGTGTTATATCTGCTTGGAACGCTTGTTAAAATTATAATATGATATTATGAATAAGTCAATCAGTCATGTGTAACAAAGATCCTGGTACATATATGCATTGGATCTGATTGTTATGACATATAAGCAACAAAATTATCAAGACAAATCCCAGAGTAGTAGGAGTAGTAACATTATTTTGGGGAACAAGATAAACACCAAAATTGTTTTCTTGCATTTTTTATTTACTTCATTATTAGAAATGAAACGAAGATTTAAGCAATTCTAATAGTAAATGTATACAATTAGAAACAGAGTTTGTCTACTACCTAATAAAAATTATCCACAACCCACTATTCATTTCTCTTTTCTTTTGAAACCAGTTTTACCTGTTAATATCATTAATCTATCTATTGTAGATGAATAAGTTAGGCTACGTTGAGATCTATTTATCATAGAAAACAATTAAATAGATCTGTTTAAATGAACATAAAAGTGGTTAAATTCAATTAATTAATGAATTAAACAGATGCGAATTTGTAATTCACTTTAGAATGTATTGCATCAACTTTATACATATATATTGAGCGCCAAAATAGTTCGCTCAAATTAATGAATTGATTAACTTAACTGTAAGATACCAAATGTTCTTTTTCTATTATAACAGTTAAAATAAATAAACTGTAGCTTAGTAAGTGATATATATAAACAAAGATGAAGTTTTAAAAGGTAATTAAGTGAACTACTTAGAAGATAAAGGTCACTCATTCATTGTATTTATGTTGTAATTACTTCTTTATGAACCTTTAACAATTTTAAATCATATCACTAAATGTAATAAAACTAAGTTCAAACTGTCTAATTTGTTAGAAAATTATTTGTTCTCTCTGTTTATTTCAAATTTCTTTGTGATTTCAACAATAAACAAAAAGAATGAAGTATATCTATGCTGAATGAATTTCGACCTCATCGTCAAATTCATCAATGTCTTTAAATGTTACACGTAATATGAAAAATTTTAAGTAAATATTAAGAAATCAGAAGGGGTTTTGTGGAGATTGTAGTAATTTCAATAGTTAAGATCATGAGTCAGTTGAAGCTAGACCACCATGGAAAACCTGGAAGCACTGGACGGCCGTTTCGTCCTATTGTAGGACTCCTCAGCAGTGAGCATCCACGACCTCGCCCCTTGCGAGATTCGAGCCCAGGACCTACTGGTTTCGCGAGCGAGCACTTAACCACTAGACCACTGAGCCAGCATCCAACGGTGTTAATGTCTAACTTCAACTCATCCACGAAATTGAGAGGCACATCCATCATTGTCTTCAGTGAGTTACTATCTCACAACAGACCTGGTTGAACTCCACTGGTCACTGCTACTCACTAGAACTCCAGGATATATTTCTTGAAGTCACTCACTAGTGAGTATATGTTGATTAGTATCAGAAGAAATATGACATTGGTAAATGTTGAAAGTATCAAGTCATTCAATCAATTATTAAGCATTATAACTTCTGTAGTTTTCAATAAAAAGAAAACTTTTCTGTTGCATAAAAGTGAAAATTATAACAAAACCGTTTTTGAGTAACAAATGAATCCTTTTCCAACGTTGAGAACGAAATCAAGACAATTTAAAGAAGGAAGTTGTCTTTTAAACAATGTCATTTATCAAAATTATACATTCATATGCATATCTAATTAGAATCCATATATCTATAACAGAATAGATAGATACTATACCATTTAAAGTGTGATCGAAAGTGTTTTTAGGTATCAAAATCATAAAATGAACCAAAGTGAAAATAGATTATAGATGTAAGATTGTCCACTAGAAGAATAATACGATGTGAATGAGTCAAGAAAAGGAGATCGCACCTCATAAAATGAGAAGTGTGTTGTTGTTTTAAGATCAAGATAATCAACTTCGGTAATGTAACCTCTCCAAAATCTCATTTTAAGATCATCCAAAAGGTTGCATAAATTGGCTCAAAAAGAATACACCCTATGGATGCACGCATACCAGAAGCTTTAACAGTTCACCAGTTTATTTACTGAACTGTCTTAATGACCCTTCTTTTGTTTCCGTGTAAACAGAGGATTTAATAGTCCAAGTTGACTGGTTGATAATGATTGGAAGTGATTCACTTTAAGGGCTACTAACTGAAATTAATCAATGAGTTCTGGTTGCTCAGAAAAAGACAATAGAGGTTACAACTCTATGACCTTTCAATATTATTTTCCTGCACCGGCCTACGACTTAGGATTAATTCATTCCTTCTTTTCGTAACCAGGATTCTATAAGTTCCACGTATCTCAAACGAACAAATACTTAGATGTTCAGAACGAAAAACGAGTATCGTTAGACGTAGTTATACTTGAGACAAAGTCAGTGGGAATTCTACATGAGAACTGAGCGTCACATTTTCCTTAACAACCTTTCCTTCAGTTATTGATACCATTTATTCATTACGCTGTTCTATACTGAATTTCATGGAAATCTTTCAAACATCAAGGTCAATGTGTTCTTTGGTTTGAATGTTCCGAAAATCAAAACATTGATATTGAATTTAATCTTCACTTCTTCTGTAAAAAAAATTGCCGTTGTTACTGTAGATTCAACTATGCTTGCACAGGACAGAAACGCTCTAAATACCTGATTCAATTCGTGATTCAACTCGTCACTAACATTCTCAACATCGATCTGTCTATGAACAAGTTATCTTGCTGTGATTGTTTTAGTGTTCAAACTTTCGCACGCACACACAAGATTGGAAAGGATAATGGAGAGGGTTCAAATATTTGCTCCCAAATGAAACTGATGATGATATGGCTTGTTTGTATTTACTAATAAAATAGTATGATTGTCCTTAAGTCTAACAGTATCTTTTTATATCTAATTTCAGTAATGATGAAATTGAACCAACTGTCAGAAAAACTTACCCGAGAAACATTCTATTTTAATTAACATTACAAATTGTAATTCCAATTAACTTTACTTCCATGTATTATTTCTCAACTAACAATTTTTTTTTTAAAACAAAGTAAACTTTAATCTATTACATACAAAATAGACTTACAAATGTACAATATCAATATAAATATGTACAATATTCAAATTTAATTTAAAGAAGAGAAAAAAAGACATTTTATCAAAATGTAAAAAAGACTTAACAAAGTTCTTTAGCTAATTGACAACATTCATTCGTTGATATATGTTCAGTAATAGCTATTGCATTGGCTAATATCATTATTTCTCTAGCAGAACCAGCTGTTAACCATATTCGTCCATTTGCACCTAGGAATATTTCAAAAGGATACACCTAAGTAAATAACAAGAAAAAGAAAATTTAATAAGAAACTATGATGTCAAAATAAAGAAATACATAGGAATTAAAGTACAAATTATTGAATAATAACAAAATGTTATTTAACATAATATCAATTACCAGTACGAAAGTGAAAGAAAAACAATAACTGTACATATAATGTCAGTGAATCAGTTCATTAAGTAAGAGTTATTATTATTTATTATTTCAACACATAAATATTGGTACAAGAAAGCACCAAATATATATGCGCCACACCATATTTATGTGTGTGTAGGCTGTGATACTGCACGGGTGCCCAGACCGAAGCAGGTGGTTCTCTTAGGGGGCCACACCTCGAGCCTTCGACCTAAAGGTCTGACCCACAAGACAGTGGAGTATCGTGAGGAGATGCAGTCTCATGATAGCCGGTAACCAACGGCTGGTTCATATGCCATTTGTTCCCACAGGATACTGGAGCCCATGTGCACCACTGGTTTGGGATCCGGGTAAAGCGCCGGACATTCGCTTTTCGTCCTCTCATTTTCATAAACAACACCCCCGCCACGAGAATGCAGTGAGTAGGACTTCTCTGGCAGGGGCTGTATACGCGTGGCCGTGAGAGAGCATTTCAAGAGGGAAGGCGGGCCGACCCCGCTCTCGGCCATACCAGGGCATTTGGGGGCATTAAGTAAGAGTCCTTGCAATCATTAAATAAATTGGATATATTTAATGAGATATAAAAATAAGAAAGAGTTCACAAGAAATACACAATATTAAGAAATATACAGAACGATGTGATTACAATCATTGATTATAATAAACAGAAAGCTGGAGTTATTAGATACAGTTATATCAACAGTAATCAGTTATACGGCCAAATTATTGAACTTTATCACTGGTTCAAAAATTATTACGTAATATATTTGACTTTTCGCAAGTTTTATTCCTTTAAAGTATAGAAATTAAGTGATCGAAATGCATAATTATATTGACCTTGCATCTTTCAACCTCTAATCAAATGCAACTAGCTCAAAATGGAACATTGGAAAACAGTTCGACTAGTACACTAAAGAATACAGAATATATTTTATTTATAAAAATTTATGAGTCCGATTTACTGTTTCAGAAACAGTCTACAATTTCAATCAGAAAGTTTTTTGTATATATTGAATTGACATGGATAAAAAGCCCACTAAAATTTCAAAGTATCATATGATCTATCGTTTTACTTGGTAAAAAGTGACTGTAACAAGTAATTAACCAATTCGATGAAAATAAAGACAAACCACGAAGTGTAACTGATTTTCATGTATTTAGCAAAGTTTGTTATCCACTCTAGCGGATAAGCAATTCCACTCCTGTTTTCTCAGTATCTCCACATTCGTATAATTCATTCATCGACTTGCAGTAATTAAATACTGAATCTGATTCATTCACATGTGCGCTCTTTGTTTTTCATTCAGACATGTCGAAAAGTTTCCATAGATCGTATATTAAAAATCAAAAATTTAAATCAAAGCAAACACTGTTTAGTAATTTTAGATTTTTGGTTTAAATATAAACTGTGTTATTGAATGTCAGAGGTTAGAATATTTATCTCCTTTAACCTCAAACAACTTTTACTCCTTTCTCTTGATATCACCAGTTGGATAATTATCTTTTTTTTCTTTTATTCTTGATGTCTGTCAATTATTATCCATTGATTCATACACGGATAGGTTGTTCAATACCGACCACAACATCCAAAACGGCTCGCCCACAGTGAATGCAAATAAGTAAGTCAGTTAGTTAGCAAACAACTTTATTCTACATTGCGTTGTTTGTGACAAATCTATAACAGTTATTTGTTGTAACGTATAGAGCACTTATAGAATTTCATTACATTTTATACTGTTCTCAAAAAAGTTCCTTCTTTTAATCAACGCTTTTGGATGGCATAATTCTGACTTGCTAGCTAAAAAGTGAATTTCCGTTTATTGGAACTACAGGTGTTGATATAAAGAATTCACTTGTTTCTAAGATATTCATAAGAACTATAAATAAAAATTACTATACACATTGAGTTTTTACCTTAGATAAAAGTTTTAATAGAGGAAATTCATCTTGATTGCCTAACCGCCTGACCAAATCTTGCGTACAGTGTAACAGTATACCACCAGACCGACCTCCAGCATTACCAACAGTTCCAGGTTCATGGCGACCAAGGATACCCATTCCACAAGCTTTCCCCGCCTCATCAACACATGACAATTCAATCTCTAAATCTAGGAAAACAAAATCTCGTTATCAATACTAACAGTCGTTAAGACGTACAATATTGTTAATACAAAAAACACCATATCGTGTATTCAGAAAAACTGACCACGTTAATCAACTTGAGATAACAGTTCCAACGGATTATGAATTTGTCAGAACTGATGGTATTAATGTAAAATGACAAGCTACAACAATATCTACTATAATACTTTAGAAAGAAAAGATACTGTTCAATTTCTAGATAACAATTCAAACTACATCAATATTTCTCATAAATAGGTGGAGTGAAAGGAGAAAACAGTGGTTATTTTCTGTAAATTTAGGTAAAACTAAATAAAATCAGTAATCAATGATGATGAAATTGTAAGTATTCAGCTACTACGAAACAATTTATTCAAATGTACTAAGAGATGTTGTGTAGTAAAATATTAAAGTATTATCACAGAAGAAACTAGATTTGATAACTTGTTTGGATTTGCAAACAAAACGTCCTTCCAATAAATGAAATGTTTCTAAACGTAATGTGCCGTGTATTATTCAACCATTAACGTTCAAGGAGCGATATCGTTAGACTAATGCTTATTCTGACAATCTGCCTTATTCTTCATACTAATTGTTACAGTGATGCAAACAATTTAAAATAGCGATTATTACTTTTGCTTAGTCTACTAGTCGTTAAAAACTAGGTTTGTTTCCATGAAAGAGGCTTACATTAAGAATAATGCTTGCTTACAGACGTGTTATTGCTCAAAAAATGGGAATAATAAAGTTGACAAACAGAAAGTATATAAGTGATTACAGAATAAACTTACCTCTGTCGGCTCGTGTAATCATGGCATAAAGAACATCACCTGCATTAATGTCAGGACGATTCTTTTTAGAAGAACCTTCGAATGATAAGTAATTGAGAATAGCCGGAGAAGCACAACCTATATCAACTACAAACGATTCACCAGCTTTTTTCATTACAACGCCAATAACCTTGTCCTCTGGCTGAAACTGTCCCACATGACAACGGTATGAGAGACGAGTAAGTGGAAGTAATGTAGTTACTGAACCATTAGACACAAGGCATTCTACCCAAATGAAATTTTCTGACCTCAAATCACTCAATGAATTTCCCAGTTTAAAACGCTTGATTGTATCCGTTGAGTCTGTTCCTTCCAACTTCTTACATTTGAATTTTAAGATTCCGAACTGTTAAGAGAATTTTTAAAAAATGAGAAAATACATCAGCAAATTCGAAAACAAATCGTTAGCAGACTTATATAATAATGGATGGGACTTAACCCGTATACTTTAAAAACATAGTGCTGTAAAACAGTTTTGATAGTCGAAGTAAGCTATGAAATATAACTGAATATGGAAACTAAATAATGCTGAGTGGTATCTGTGTAAAGATTTACACCGCAACAAATCAGTTCTGTTTATTACACATCAAAAAGACCGAAAGATAAAACTACGAGGAACTCATCAATGAAGGATAAGACTAGCACACTGAACCATTTCATATGTTCATGTAAGCCAATAATGGCCATAGCAACAAGTTGAACGGTGAAATCTAGTTGTACAACGCTACTTTGAAATAAAAACCATAAGACTGACCTGTCTTACTAAAATCGAATCCACCATTTTGTTTTTTCCCACTCCAGGTTTCATTCTAGACATCGGCACACAGACAAGACCTGGACCAATAGACCATGATACAGGCCCATCATAAGGTCCAGATAATTCAAAAACCATTCCAGGTAAAACTAAACGATCCAAAAAATTTTGATAACTCGAGTCATTTGATGATGTGTGAAGTCGAGCCCCACGTATGATATTGTCAATGGATGCCAAATTCATTGGATCGGAGACAAATTTCTATCTATTGAATAAATTAAACACTATTATTAGAAAAAAACATTTTTGTGATCTTCAATCTAAGACAGATTATTAAAGAGTATAAATAGTAGCAAATACTAAAGAAAACAATTGGATATTTATTTACATATGGGAGGGGAAGATACTAGTAGATTTATGTGTGAAAGTAGCTAAACTAGGCTACCAAACGTCCAATTGGACTTTGTTATTTTCTACTTAATACACAAAATTCGGCATAACCAGGCACCAAAAATAGTATGCGACTGACAAAATAAATAGATAACATCATAGAGAAGTAAAAGAGGAAGGGAGTGTAGTTGAAAACAGAATAAGTGGACAAGATTAATGTATAGGGAAGGATAAAGTCCAGTTAAAAATACAAGTAAAAGAAATTTTTTCAGTTTCTCTCCATTCGAAAGAGAATTTCAAAGAAAACTAGAGCACGAATATTGTTATCTTCGGTTCTCGTCCATTTCTGTTAACGTTTCAAGCCACTGAGTCGCACCATTTTCAGAACCCCAGCTAAGGATTCGTGATTGACCAACGTATTTGTCTTATACAGTTTCCTCTCACACCACAGTTTCATGTCATATACTGACTACTTTGCCTTTGCCATCCAATGCTAAAACCTGCAAGTAATTCATAATTTAGAAGTCACAAGAATGATGCCGTGAGATATGTTTATGAAACCGAAGCCAGGGTTAAAGGTGGTAACATCAACTAACACTGACAAACACAATGAATATTGACTTGAAATAAGTGAAGCAGTAATTTAACATATAGTGGGATGTGGAGATATAATAGACATATCCATAACTTAATCAAAGACCAGCCTGTTCTATACAATTCAGTCTTCCACGGGTTTAACAAAATCTGAAATATGGCGGAATTCAAAAGTTTGGAAGCAGTCAGAAGTAAACTTATCCCCTTAGAGTGCATGCATGGATAATGCCTGTTAAAATTTGGGACGACGGCTGCTTTACTTCAGGATGTTGGAATAGTCTTTTTGTAAACCTTTTCCACCCTTCTTAGAAACAAAGAAGGTAAGTCGTCTAGGCCTGGTGATTCGTGGAGCCTTATAATCTGGGTTGCTATGTGAACTTCCTCCTCGTTGGGCAGATCAATCGTCACCAGCCATGGAGGATAGGACAGTCTGGGACAAATAACCAGACGAAATATTTTTCGAAAAACAGTACATCATATGAGACGCCTTAAGATGTTACCAACTGACATGCTATCAACATCATAGATAACTTTACCGAAACCAGACGTTTTGCTCCCAGTGGGTCGAATAAGCTGAAATAATTTTCACAAGTTGCTAGATAGAGACGCAGCTTCCAATCACCAAGTTTTATAGTTCATAGGCTAACTTGGGCGTAAGTAAATTTGAAGATATGCTTCGATAACTGATACAGTTAACCAGTGACATTTATCCACTTAGCCTGAAAAGATTGTGTAGTAGAAAATTCCCACCTCTATTAGTAGATTAGATACTTGGTGGAATCTGATAACAAAGGTAAAGCGGTTACTTAAATTCTACAATTATGTTGTGGATATGAAATTCATTGAATGTTAGCTTCCCATTAGAATATAAGGTGCAATTTCAAATCCGCACATGCTGTGGGCAGAAGTTAAAGGGATAATTACAAATATTTAACTTCCGAAATTTCTAACCACAGATGCAGTGGATATATTGATGAGTTGAGAAAAGCTACTACTGCTTGATATAGATAAAAAACAAGTCGTTGCATATGAGGATCATGAATATTGTAATAAGTACATTATTAAGCAGACAATTGTCATTATATTCATCATACCATCATGAAAGTATGTATACTTATCTCCAGCACAATAACGCTCATGATGAATAAATTCCACCACTATTTCGAAGTGGTTGGTTAGTATCCAATAACGTCAACATTTTAACAAAGTCAGTGACTGTAAGATAATAATTACTGGGCGTAAACCACCAGAAAATTGCTTGAACGGTATAGGGATATGACTATTTTTGATCCGATGCAGCTGTTTTTTATATACTGGTTTAGTGGTAGTATGAAATGTAGAAAATGAGACTGATATGGTTATGATTTTGCTGTCCATTGTCCAGTTGCAGCTACAAAGTTCAATTTAGATTGGCGTTTTGATTATGAGACCATGAAGGCGTCGAAACAATCAAAACAAGAATTCCTCAAGTCAAAATAATCAATAATATTTCAACGCTAACAAACGAGCCAAATATCACTCGCTATAATGATATCCCATACAACTACCTGAACTGTCTTTAAGTTTTCACTATTTGCAGATGAAATTCAAAAGTAATAGCAAGTATTAAAATACTAGTATGATGGTTAACATTCATATGAAATGGTTTAGAATATTGGTAAAAAAAAAGCTCAATGTCTACGAAAGCTACTATAACCCCATTTTCTCATGGCCAATTTACCTGTATTTACTCAACTATAATTATTCCTGATTATTTTAAAACCATCATATTTATTAGAGACACGTTACTTTTAAACAGCTCCATTTTGAAACTATATAGATAGTCTCGAACAATATTTTGGTTAGGATAGTGCAGTTACTAACAAAATTTAAGTAGTTTGACAAGTTATCATTGTTTAACAAGATAGATAATAAAACAAAATGAAAACATGAATTGACTATATTTAGTTAAAGATTCATTCGTTAAAATAAACTCGTCACACTTAGATACCAAGATCATAGAGTGGAATAAAAATAGTACATAGAAAGGAAGTCTGTCGTTAACAAAAACAAGCAACATAAGGGATTTTCCACTGCCAACCATGAGGTAACATTTGTGTTAATAACCAATTAAAAGCCCATGAGTTTGTGAAACTGCAGAAACTGTTAATAGGAAATAGGACACTCCGAATCCCATTGCCCATCACTTATTCTCTCCTATCATATACATTGTTTGTTTACTCTCAGGTATTATCATTCGTTTTGATTACTTCTTATAATATAGACAAGTATAACAAACGCTTTGTATATATCCTGAGTGCGTATATGTCCTCTTGTGACAATCACAGAGGAATCAGTTTGACAAATATAGTATCTAAACAACTAGCTTCAATAATACTTCGACAACTAACCAAAGCTCGTGAAGAACAGACTAGAGAAAACCAGGCTGGTTTTCGACCTGGACGTGGTTGTATAGACCACATATTCACACTACGTCAGGTTCTAGAACACAGACACGCGTTCAGACGCCCCACAATGGTAGTATTTCTCGACCTTAAGGCGGCATTCGACTCCGTCGATCGTAAGGTTCTATGGCACTGTTTGTCACTGAAAGGAGTACCAAAGAAGTACATTAACCTTGTAAAGGCTCTTTACTCGAACACAACTAGCCGAGTCAAAGCTTATGGCGAACTGTCATCAGAATTGATTACCTCAAGTGGTGTTCGTCAGGGCTGTCCACTCTCTCCATTCTTGTTCAACTTTGTCGTCGACGTACTTTTAGAGATAACACTTTCCTCGTCTAGATTTCCAGGGGTTGAACTTCTACCGGAAGGTTCACTTGTTGACTTAGAATATACTGATGACATAGTTTTATTTGGTGAAGACGCTGACAAAATGCAGAGTCTTTTGACCACTCTAAGCAACAATGCAAGCATGTTCGGGATGCGATTCTCCCCCTCGAAATCCAAAATGTTGCTTCAGGATTGGGTTGCTTCGACACCCGAACTAGTGATAGGGAGTGAAGTAGTTGAGTGTGTCGACCGCTTCACTTATCTTGGAAGTCTCACCAGCCCTTGTGGTTTAGTGTGTGACGAAATCTCAGCACGGATACAGAAGGCTCGACTAGCTCTTGCCAACTTGCGTCATTTATGGAGTAGGCGAGATATCCGTCTATCAACCAAAGGACGGGTTTACTATGCAGCAGTTCGTTCCGTCCTACTTTATGGCAGTGAAACATGGCCGGTAAGAGTAGAGGATATTCGTAGGTTACTAGTATTTGATCATAGGTGTCTTCGAAACATTGCTCGTATATCCTGGGACCACCGAGTAAGTAACGCAGTTGTTAGGAAACGGGTACTAGGTAAGGATGGCAAATCAATTGATGAAGTAGTGAAACTTCATCAGTTGAGATGGCTGGGACACGTGTTACGTATGCCCAACGACCGACTGCCTCGACGAGCGATGTTCAATGGTATAGGAGTAGGCTGGAAGGAAGCTAGGGGAGGCCAGACCAAAACATGGCACAAGTCCATGAAGTCACTGTTAAGTGGACTGATTCATGTTGGTAGGTGTAGACTACCTGGTTGGGGACCGCGAGATGATAGCAACCGATGGTTAGACATCCTGAATGACATGGCTCAAAATCATTTGCAATGACGCAGGTGCATACACTCTTTGTGTTCTTCCAAATTCTAATTTCCTGATTCCTCCTTGTCTCTTTTTTCTCTTTCCAAATTTATTTCACTGGATTATACTCCTTGAATAACATCTTCAAACCCTAATTTTTCTGATTACAGCTTATAATTTTACTACCTCTACCACTACGGAATTTGAATTGACCACTGCATCTCTGTGCTAATGTGGTATGGCAACTCGAACTGATGTACGTACGTACGAAGTTCTACGTTGTTACTGCCTGACTGACTGACTGACTGACTGATATGTACTTTACATTGAATGGCTTCAGTCAAAGCTAACTTGATATGGTGATCGAGCTTGGATACCGTAGTGACCCATTCGAGCAATAATGGCGAAGACATTTGTTTTCTTAGGCCGTATTATCCCAACGAAGTCAGTTGTAGGACGATAATAAAAGTAACAACTCGTTTGAGGGTGAAGACATACTCTAAACTGTACTTAGATGTGAAGGCGGTAAGATATCTACAACAAACATCTCTAGAGATGTTGCTTTCATACAGGAGTAGAAATGGTTGACTTTAGAAACAACAAACGGCACACTGTCAAACGAATTCCCTTTACTGGCTGCCCCCAAATGCTGAAGGTGGGGAGAGTCAGCTCTCCCTCTCGAAACGCTCTCAAATGGCTACGAATATGCAGCCACTGTCAAGGAAATCCTACTCACTACCTTCTTGTGGCGGAGGTGTTGTTGACGAAATTGAGAGGACGAAAAGCGAATGTCCGGCGATCTAACCGGACTGTTGGACACGTAGAGTTCACCTAGGGGAGCTGGAAAACCCTGATTCCAAACCAATGGTGCACATGAGCTCCAGTATCCTGCGGGAACAAATGGCGTATGAACCAATTGTTGGTCACCGGCTACCATGGGACTGCATCTCCTTACGTTGCTCCACTACCTTGTGGACTAGACCTTTAGGTCGAAGGTTTGGGGTGTGACCCCTAAGAAACCCACCTGCTTCCGTCTGGGCACCCTGGCAGTATCACAGCCCATACACGAATCAAGTGACCTATGTGGCGCATATTTACTCGGTGCCCAGTTGTATAAATGTGTTCAAATAAATCAACTTTACTGGATGTAAGTCCTTCAAAGCACAGACCCACAACTTTAAGAACCTTTCGCAAAATGGCTACATGCGACATTTTAAGAAACTGTCTCTTGGAGTTTGTTGTCAAGCTCGCAGATTAATATTTGTGGTCTAGTTTTACTTTTAGGTCGTTCAAGAAGCGAAATCATTCCACAATATATGTGACCGGAAATCGATAACCGTTCACATACTTCTAATAGGACGGAAAACCTTGTTAACGACTGATAGATGTCAGATTAGAAAATTGAGTAGCAGCACTCTAGAAAAACGTATGAGTTGAACAACAGAGGAAATCCTTATCGGGGATAAAAATCATTGTTAAGTCCCATTAGTTTTATTGACAGGAACCTAATTATGTACAAACTAATCATATTAAAGATACCAAGTCAAGTATTTTGACCCAAAATTCACTAATATATATAAGGTAAACTAGCATTTCGGCATTATAGCCGATGGCATCCCATGATGAAAACCCCAATTCCTAACCCTAACTTTTAACTGTAAATACTGATTCTAGTTCCCCACACTAATTCAAGATCTAGTTTGCGTCTTACCGTTTTAACTATATAAACGTCAGTTGAAACTATCTTATCAACAGATTAACAGGAGTTACGACGGTGAAACAACGCAAGGATTAACAGATCGAACAAACATGAGAAAGGATAAAGGAAGACCAGGCTTAAATGTTAAAATTTACCACAGTGGTAATGAGGGATGACCAGAGTTAAAAAAACGAACAATGGGTAGAATATAAATACAAAGCGGTACCCATTTAAGGTGACTGAATACGTTAAGATACTTTCACATACGACTGATGAAAAAGCGTAATTCCTGTTTCTCCAAATTGCTTTATTAAATGCCAAATCGTTGATAAAACTAGTACAATTACCGAAGTTTGGGCTGGATTTGAGCTTACGCTTTATCTCTAATGTGCTTTAAGGTATTTTCATTCTGTTAAATTGAGGCAGAAACAATAATTTTACACAAAACCAGGCCAGTAGAGCTGTGCTATAATCCCGAGCTAATGTCGAATGTTAAGACTCAGGCCCAAAAAGCGTGTATTAAAAACAGGGTTGAAAACTGATGTCAGGAAATAATAATGGACTGTTTAAGTTAGCATTTTCATTACGATCTAATATCATCTATAATGCAAGGGTCTCAGGCTTTGAAATTCGACTTTAGACGGGAACATAACAACTGATCAAAATAAAAAAGTCGTGCATTTACTGTTTCCCGCCCAATCGGTTGAATGAGTTAGGATATCAAAGCTGTTCACCAGTAAATTACAGGACAGCCACATTTTAAAAGTCGAAAAGTAACCCGATATGATCTGATCACCTTATGAGCCAAATAAGATCAAAATTTAAAAATAATTTACAGGTGTGGTCCAGATGTCTTCCCACTCCATGTGGTTATGAAACAAGCTATTACTTGAAATACATATTGAGGATCCTCGACTTGTCGACGATTATTTATGTGATGACTGACGATAAAAACTTTTTCCAAAGACTCGAATATGAAATTAACAACATGTACAAAACAATATTTCAGTATGAATTAGACTTACAAATCACAGAGGATTTTCTTTAAACAAAACATGCGATGTCCGATAAAATCCACCAAGCCTGACCACACGTAACGTACAAACTTAAAACGGTCCTTTCAGTATTCAATAACCATGGAGTGGCTCAGATGGTTGTGAAAGAAAAAGCTTTCGTCCAACGAGATCTCCTATCTAGTTTTGATGGATCACTGATGCTTCTTGGTCGAGGCTCAGTTAT